GTACCATGTTGGGTACAGTGGCGTGTAAGGGCGGTGAGGCAGTCTAGTTAAGCTGTTATTTGCCCGTCGTAACTGAAGACCCTGGTTCGATTCCCCTACATGGTACAATGCAAGCTCCATTTCTGATTCCCTGCCATTGCTGGGATATTGCAAAACGACACAGTCTCAATTCGCTCACAAGATGGCGTGCTGAAGACTCTGCCATATGGGAAGACTATGCCGTCTGGGCGATGCAATGAGAGTGAGTGAGCGAGTTTAGTTTTTGCCACCCAGCAATATTCCCAGCTATATGGCGGCGGACTGTAACAATCGAGTCTGACCAGATAACCAGTGGTCAACAGCATGGGCTTTAGTCTACGCAATTGGGAACTGATGATATGTCAACTAAGCCAGCGAAGCCCACCACCTGATTCGTTAGCGCTCTCTACGACAAGTATGGGTTACTGAAGGTACATTCTAACCGATGTAACGAGAACCCTCATTGTTTTAGTTATCGTTTTACCGTTTTTAATGTCACTTTTGTATTCGTTGGTAAAACTATTCACCAGTGATCGATGATTGAGGAACGGAAAATGCCTATTACACGAAATATGCAGACTTTCCGGGAACCGGACAATCCGTAGCCCAACTTGTTGGCGCACTCGTATCCAAATGTTGACTAACCTGTACACAATATCAACCAATCAAATGGATGACTCACCCCAAAACGATTGTGTACAAATGAACATTTATATAAGTTGAAACACGCACAGCCAGACTATTGCTCAAAATGTAAACACAGTAGCAAGCTATAACTGCTTGATCAAAACTTCCTACACCGACCGACTTCAATAAGAAAAATACTTTAAATACTAAAAACAATATGTCACCACAACGGTTAACCAAAAATATCTGTGAGTGGTGGCTATGGTTGCACAATAGGCCAGGAGACCGCCAAAGCTTGTTGCAGCATCATTTGATACAAACATCATTGATGGCTGACATTGTAGCAGCACAGTGTCTGGTGACACACATCTCCAGAAAATCAATTGTCTGCTTTTCTCTTGTTTACTCCTGCACCTGTCCTCGCTTCACTTCCAACTCCGTCTCTGTTTAATGCAACTCCGTCTTGTTTACTTGCACCTGTCTTGTTTACTTGTTTACTCTGCACTGTCTTGTTTACTTTCCACCTCGTCTTGCTTGCATTTCCACCTGTCTTGTTTACTCTCCACCTGTCTTGTTTACTCTCCACCCAATCTTGTTTCCTTGTTTACTCTGCACCCGTCTTGGTTTACTCTGCACCTGTCTAGTTTCACTCACCTGTCTGGTTTACTCTGCACCCTGTCTTTGTTTACTCTGCAACTCCGTCTTGTTTTTCATCAAGCACCTGCCTTTGTTTACCTTGGTAACTCGTCTTGCTTACTCCACTCTGTCTTGTTTACGCTTGTTTACCTGCACCCCGTCTCTGTTTGATTTGCACCTGTCTTGCTTACTTCCCAAGTAATCCTGGGTCTTGTTTACTTCCACCTGTCTTGTTTACGCTTACATTCTGCACCTGTCTTGTTTACTCTGCACCTGTCTTGTTTACTCTGCACCTGTCTTGTTTTACTCTGGCACCTGTCTCTTGTTTACGCTTGCCTACTCTGCAACTCGTCTTGTTTTACTCTAACTGTCTTGTTTACCTGCACCCGTCTTGTTTTACTCTGGCACCTGTCTTGTTTACCTTGTTTACTCTGCAACTCAAGTCTCTATTTACTCTGCACCCGTCTTGTTTACCTCCACCCGTCTTGTTTACTCTTGTTTACTCTGCACCTGTCTCTAGTCTTACTCTGCATCTGTCTTGTTTACTCTGCATCTGTCTTGTTTTACTCTGCACCTCGTCTTGTTTACTCTGCACCCGTCTTGTTTACTCTGCACCCGGGTTCTGTTTACCTTGCTTACTCTGCACCCGTCTTAGTTTCCACCTGCACCCGTCTTGTTTACCTGCACCTGTCTTGCTTCACCTTTGTTTACTCTGCACCTGTCTTGTTTACCTGTACCCGTCTTCTGTTTACTCCACCCGTCTTGTTTACCTTGCTTACCTCCACCCGTCCTGCTTCACCTGGCATCCAACTTGCTTCACTCCGGGCATCCGTCCTTGCCCTTACCTGCACCCGTCTTGCTTACTCTGCACCCGTCTCTGTTTACTCTTGTTTACTCTGCACCTGTTCTTGTTTACTCTGCACCTGTCTTGTTTACTCCTGCACCTCGTCTTGTTTACTCTGCACCTGTCTTGTTTACGCCTGTCTTGTTTACCTGCACCTGTAAACTTCAGTACCTACCTCGCCACGAACGTGAAGTAGCAAGGAACTTGTTATCGAACTCGCAACTGTGCATGAGCTAATTGAAAATGATACTAGCTCTTGATGGTATTTATGGCTAATATGTAAGATAAGGGGTGTATTGTGGCACTGATTGAGTGAACATATTAATCAGTATCATTATAATTCTTAGTAAGCTTAACTCAGTAAATGAACTCAGTAAATTCAAATCATATTTCACCACATAAGCCTGGAATTTAACAGCACCCAGTGACTTAATCCCTTATAACAAACACCGGCAAAACGTCAAGGAGATTGATAACGTGTCTCTACCCTCACGGAAACCCGATATGAAGGGCAACGACACTTCGGAGCATATTCCCACTCGTTCTCCAGGTCATGCAACTTCCTGGTCCCTCGTACAAGGTAGCGACATTCATACCGCCCCATCCCATCCCACCCCACCCCATCCACAGTGAGTCAACTCGGTTAATTTATTTTCCAGTGTTTCTAAAGGCACCTGCAGAGTTATATGACATCACAGTCAGTCGAATTAAGCAAGAAAAGGCCACTTCAGAGGACCTAAAGCACAGATATTAATTGACTTCAATTGCTGATTGTACTTGACCAACTAATGAATAAAAATAATGCATTATTTAAGATTAAAGGAAATAAACGTTTCCAGTGATTATATTTGTCCCCTAGGTTAACAACCTTTGTTCAATCTTTGTACATTGTTTTCTATGGCGTGAAGACAAGGATTTTGATAACTTTGGGTTGTAAGGGAAGAAAGGATTAAATGTAGCAACACATATTTGCAGAAAAATTAGTCTTGTGGTTTGGGGAATCAATGTTTTTTATGTATGTTTCGACGAAGGCGCCAAACCCCACCAAAAAACCAACTTAATAAAGACAAAAATTATGTGAATGATGATTAGGTGATTCTCATTTATTACAATTCTTATTTACGAATTTACCTAACGTGCGGTATTAGGCAGCGACTGATTTTGAGATAAACATTTTATAGCGACGAGGAGGCAATGCTCTAGAGTTCCTAGCTCGGCGGTGTTGGATAGAGATAAAAGTGTTGTTTTTGGAGTTTTGAATGGAATTTTATCGTTGTTGCTTTTTATTTTGTTGGGGTGATTGGGGTGGGGTGGGGAAGTTGTCAATAAAATTTAGAAGGGTTCGACGTAATTGTAAACTGTAAAATTTCAGTTTCTAAACTAAAAGCTCCAACTCCCTAAAAGCCACCTAGAAAGGTACAAATATACGATACGTCTTAACATATATCTGTATACCGACAGCCATATAAGCTTCGAAACTGAGGGAAAAGCACGCATGGTTCAGCAGAAAGAGATACTCGATTACAATGTTCAAAATGACATTCAGTTACAGCGTGCCACGCGACTCTACAGGAGGATGAACAAAACTAGGCTGGTAGCGATGATGTTATCTGAATTGGCTTGGTTGGTTGTTGTTTTAACGCAAATATTCCAGAGATATGGAGGCGGTCTGTAAATAATCAAGTCTGGATCAGAATAATCCAATGATCAACAGCATGATCATCCCGATCTACGCAGTTTGGATACGATGACGTATTAAGTCAAGAAAGTCAGCGAGTCTAATCATGCCGATTCCGTTAGTCGCCTCTTTACGACAAGTATGGGTTACTGGAAGATCAGTTCTAACACGGATCTTCACGTGTGCGATCAGTGATGCAGAGGCCTCCATGATTTTGGCATTGTGTAAAGTAACATTTATTCAAGATGTTGTCTCGTCATTCTTCGTTAACTTCCATCGAGCTACTAAACTGTATCGATGATCGGAAATCAGGGTGGGAATGATTATAGTCGTTTGGCATAGTTGCTACAGATATCATATCAGCATCATATCCAGAAGCACTAACCAGGCTTTATCGATTATCAAAGTAATGCATCGTCGTCCTCAGGCACACATAAAATGCTTTGGTGGTGATACGTTTACTTTGCAAGTCGTAAGAAGCAAGTTTGTACCCTTGTTATCCATTCTAAACATACATACTCCATTGGTGCTTAGTGGAAGTTAGAGCGTCCGCGCCGGAGAGCGGAAGGTCGCGGGTTCGATCCCACCGACCGCGTCATTTCAAAAATACGTTAAAATATTGTACTTGTTGGTCCCTGCACAGCGCTTCGGCATTAATGGGTGCAACAAAGAGTTTGTCGGATTTAAGGTCAGTATAGTAATGTCTGATTGGGGTATTCATGCTTCACTGCGTGCTATGGTATCCTCAGTGGGCTAGCACCCAGAAAACCAGCTTCCAGTCTGGGCGGCTAGTACAAGCAGCCGCACGTACACACGCATGCATGTCGTCATATAAGGCAAGGAAATATTCTCCAGCGCGATGTAAAACCCAATTTCACCTCACCTCAACAACGGCGGAGACACGATTCACGTGAGTCTAGATGAGTATCAGACCTTCACGTTGAAGAGCGCCTATGACCTGACTGGAACTGTTATCAACACAACACGTGCTGTAGCTGTGTTCAGTGGGACAATGCAAAGGAATTTATGTCAGAGCAATTGCACAACTATTACCTGTACGGCATCACGGGACTGAGTATGTTCTGTCAACACATGACGTTTCTTCTTACAGGAGCTATCCATACCAGCTGCAAGTTGTTAGTGACAAGACTGACACTGAAATTATGTTGAACAATGGATCTACATTCTCTCTGGTGACAACCGTGTGTATCGCCAAAGCCTCCTGTTTAACGAGACACTGTATTTTAATACCACAAGACCAGCCATTGCAACCGTGTGTAGAAAACCCGCATACATGTTTAATCATGGGTTTGTTGTTTTAACTCCGGTTAAGTATTTCATGAACACTTCACGGGTCTGGTTTGTCTACTGTATAAACATACTGACTAAACAGCACGTGACGGATATTGAAGTATTTGGTGTTGACATGACCCCTGCTACAGTGGACTGGATGGACATCTCTGACAGTGATTACAAAGTGGGAAAAACTTGTTCAAACGGACTTTACTTTGTCCGCTCTGCCAACAGATTCACAGTGTATGCGTTTCAGAACGACATTACTAATGGAGGCTACCGTTTCCCTACTGATCCACCAACCGCTGCAGGTAAGTTTCACGATACCTTGATTTGGAGTGGTGTTTACAGTGAGAAACTGTCTAATCTGTGGACTCATCATTTTAGTGAATTTGAAAATTGTGTTAGTTAACAACACATTTTCTGTTTCCTTGTTAATAAAACATTAATGCACACGTTTTAGCTTAATATTTAGGAGATGATATTTGAAAGACGCATAGAAATACAGAAGTCTTTTTGATTCTTTAATTATAGAAGAAGTTGTATTTTTTAGAATGATTTCAGGTGTAGTTTTATATAAAAATATATGAATACTTAACTGGTTCTATAACACGAATGGCTCCATTGCAAAATTTTGCAAAACTTTATAAAACAATTGTGCATGGACATGTTAAACTCATGTATGCCTATAAATGGTAGTCATTATTTTTTGTATCTTGAATACTTACAATGTGTTTTTCAGATTTTAAATATTCTTTTACAACCAAATTGCCCTTACTCTGTGTGTCTCGGGTTCCTGCAATTGCGATGTGTTTGTCACATGTTGATAACATTCAGGGGACATCATGATTGAAGAGTTTGTGTGTGAAGTGCTGGAAGAAGATGAGTGCATGTTGGTATCAGTTGTGGCAACTTCTGTCTATTGTCACGTACTCCAACGCGTGTCACCCTTTGTCACTTACCTCTAACCACGGGAATACGTTAACATTGCTTCTGTCTTTAATCCAGCATCAGTGCTACACTGGCTTTCCCACGCTACACGCTGTCAATACGTCACTGACTCATCTACGCTATATGTAGTCAGTACGTCAAGGGTTAATCTAAACTACTGGGCAAAAGAAAGTTATCACTGATTGTATATTTAAAAAATAGCTGGTACCGATTTGAACCCAAGCAGATAACGTTCGACAAAACGCAACATGGTCACGATAACAACACATCTTCTTCCGATTCGTTTTCTAAACGTGGAATACGTAATTGTGAAACATTGGTCCAAATGACCTGCATAAATGTGGCATAGATACCGAGCAATAGATACCGTTATTTAACAAACAAAAAAAAACCCCACGAATATGCTATACCTACGTACGCAAGCGCAACGAGACAGGACGATCGGTATGGCCAAAATGGGAGCTTCACAACGTCAGCTGGCATGAACCACCAGTCCACCATTAGCAAATTGATAAGCCGCTACCAGCAAACAGGCCAGGCCTAAGACCCCCCTCAAGGTCGGGAACACCAGCAGTCACGACACCTGCCGAAGACGGCTACATCCGTCAGATCCACCTTCGTAACAGATTCGTAACGGCGCCAGCACTAGGACACGCCATCAGCAGACGAGCAGTCCTTCAACGACGTGGTATGGCCTTGGCCTTGACCCGTCTACAACGTCAACACAGACTGCAATGGACACGAACTGTACGTCGGTGGCAGCGACGTGACTGAGAGAGGGCTCTTTACAGTTGAAACTCGGCTCGGTTCACAAATGATGGCAGAATTCGAGTGTTCTTTACGTAGAATACAGCGAATGGCAGAAAACTTGTTAATGTTGAAACCTTGAACCCTGTCAATGAATTGCGGCAAATGCAAGACCAGCGTTACAATGAATTTTCAGTCAAATGATTGGAAAATGAATTCTGTTTGTAAAATAATTATCATAGATCTCACGTACGTCTTTGTTTCTATTTTTGGTCACGTGAAGTCGGTGATCACTTTCTTTGCCCGGTAGTTTATGATATACGTAGATATCGCTGGTTCGCGCAATACAGCTTCAATATATAATGGCCTCTGTACGCTATACATTGTGTCCTTTTCACAGGTCTGTATACATGCTAGTTTAAATGTTCTCCAATCAGGAGATATCAATGTTTAACACCGCCTATAGAAATATATGCTATCAGAAGGCTATAACAACAAGATTGTCCTTGTGATCAATATTATTACAAGAATTATTACATTTTCTAAAGACAGATACCCTGGAACATTACAAACATTTATGTAACGGACATCTTGTCATGTTACAATGTTGTACACATTGCTAGGTTCATGGTACTATCATTCAGCTGTGAATTTGCCTCATTCATTATAAACACTCTCATCTATATTAACATATATAAATGTTGAATATGTTATCTAACAAATATTTGAATTGAGTAACATATTTCAGAACCTTGTGTTATCTTCCCCTACAATATCAGTTTATGGATAGTATAATTATGTATAGTCTTTAAAGCTGAACACTGTTTAACACTTGATCAAAATAATAATTTATGAGATTGTTGTACATTAATTGCACTATATTTTCTTCTCTCCACAATCTACTTGCCACATTTAATGTACAGGTGTTGCTGAAAGGTAATATGATTTGTTACACTTCTCGTACATCCTACAGAGGAAGATCTCGTTTGTACCTTCTACACTAACTGAAGCCTGATTCGTGTATTCAATACTGTATCCAGGAATTGGCATGCATTTAGGGGTTTTAGACTGACGTGATACGGATTGACAGGGGTTCAGACTAACGGTGTCGGATTGACAGGGGTTCAGACTAACGGTGTCGGATTGACAGGGGTTCAGACTAACGGTGTCCGGATTGACAGGGGTTCAGATTGACAGGGGTCCACATTTTCTGTTATCTTTTCTAAAACAAGTGTTTTATTTTATCTTCACGAAGATTGCGCTATTATTATTCAGAAATATATTGAATAATATAACTGTTGGACAATAACGACATATAATACATGTAATAACAAATGGTACTCATCCTCAAACCTGTTAATTAGCTCAGATACTTCACAAAAAACGGCAATATTTGTAATTCCTATATAACTCATATTAGCATAACGGCCAGTTTCTAGTTTTAACTTGTTAGCAAATATTCTGAGCATAGTGTGCACATGTGAAATGTCTAGGTACATTTGGTAACTGATAATAGATTTGATATTACCATAAAGATAACGTTTTGATGAGTGATGGCCATATTGACAATTCCTTTCTTATATGTAATTATTTTAAATTATATTACTTTTTTGGGGTGTTTCATTGCCTGATTATCTGTTGACCAATATCCCTTTCTCTTATAGTTGTAGTCAATGCCATATGTTTATATCGTACATTTTGTTTATGCTGTAGGTCTCCTGGACAAGCCACGCTTGAAAAGTCGAAAGTTGAGAAATGGCTGAAAACTTGGAAACATGTGATACACATTCCATTTGGACTTTTGAGAATATGATTGTTTACCCATTGATGTTAATTGCTTCTTTTATTAAAACATTTCTGTGTGAGTTTCGTGGTTATTTTGCGCAGCACACAAGTCAGCATCAGACAATCCAATGATTCACTTCCTTTGCATCGATCTAAACCCATGGCACACGAAGACTGCATCAACCATGTTAGCGAACCTAGACTGCTCAAGACCCAGACACAACCGGGTATGCTTGTTAGTACCGGAATATAAGTTTCTCTCGTCAAAGAGAATAAACCAGCTTCAGTTATAACGAATTTGTAAATGACATGTAATCATGGTAGGTACGCATGGGTGGCCCAGTGGTCTGTGGAGCTAGAAATCGCCGTACAAGTATATGTCCAGTGGCCTACAAGAAACACCTATGACCGTGGGTTCGAATCCCGGTTTGCCCTGATAATGTTTAATTAATTTGCAACACCCATGTACGTTGGTTTCACCAAAGTGGTAAATATCTAACACCTGCATCACTTCAGGGCTTTTCCTACAGCAGCAAGCTGACTTGCTGTTATAATATTACAACTGAAGCACTGTTGACAACGGTGTGAAACCAAGCTTACTCACCAACCAAAGTGGGTCAGCCATAGTGAGCTGGGCCTAGATTTTCGAAGCTCTCTTAGCGCTAAGAAAGTCGTAAGTTAATGTTAATGTATGGCACTTACGACTATCGTAGCGCTAAGAGAGCTTCGAAAATCTAAACCCTATATCGTGGCGACAGTCCAGGGCCCCGTTTCAGAAAGATCTCGTAGCTACGACTGTCGCACCTCCTTTACAACAACATTGACTTACGACAGTCATAGCACTCTGATAGCTTTCTGAAACTGGGCCCTGTGACCAGAGCAACGATACCGCCCAATTGCATACTGAGAGAGGCAATCAGCCTAGTCAGGAAGTCTGGTATACGCATGTGAGTGCGTATTCGTCGGGACCAATGCCCTTTCTAAAGTGCTTGGCCACTTAGAATGTAGTTTTAACATGAATCTTCTACTCAGAAACTATATACTGAATCTAACCCAGGGTTTGCTTGCTCTTCTTAATACTGAGTTCCGGGATTGTGTTAACAAGAGCTACCATCTCCAGTGTCTATTTGTATGACGCGCCCTGGGATCGAACCACGGACTTTCATCTCCCCGTGCAGACGCTCTATCCACTAGACCACATTAGCTGTTGTGACAAACCGTCCCCAGGTTGAGCCTACACCCTGTAACTAGTAGCAAGAAGCTGCAAAAGGTATCCGGTGTTTGACTAGCGTCATTGTTCCCCGATAATAGACTTGGATTGACTTTAGGCTGGGTCGAGTCTGTTGTTTGATTGCATTGTTTCAAGGTGGAAGGTGGATGCTGTCTGTTTTCAAGGAGTGAGTGAGTTTAGTTTTACGCCGCAGTCATCAATATTCCAGCTATATTCCACCATTCTTTCAATAGTTTTACAGACGCAGCTGGTTAAAGTAAGTAAGTGAGTGAGTTTAGTTTTACGCCGCACTCAGCAATATTCAAGATCTGCATGAGCATCGATCTGCGCAATTGGGAACCGATGGCATGTGTCAACCAAGTCAGCGAGCCTGACCACCCGATCCCGGTAGTCGCCTCTTACGACAAGCATGGGTTACTGAATATCAATGTTGTAACCCGGGTCTGTTTTCAAGGAAGGGAGATAATTCCAAATGAGAATTGCTGACATTTGCTGAAATTTAGTTAACATCCATTCTCTTAAAGATAACTGTCCTGAGAACCGAATCACATTAGATTATACAATACAATTCTAACATCTCAATAACAATAATACAACACACATATTACTTTGGATAATAGAAATGGCAGGCAGCTGTATTATCAGTCACGTATTTGTGCAGTCCCGAGTTTGGCACAAAGCATCATTCACTCCCATATACCAGAATGTAAGGACAATAACACGAGGTCTGCACTACGAAGTCTGTACAATCTGACAGAGAACGTTCATACATGTCACAACAGTCACACTTCTAGTGGGACAGGACATTTCTGTAGGATCTCCCTGACCCGAGGAGGGCTTTCAGGGGGACATGGAGGATGATAAATTGTTCCTACTAAGGACAGCCAGCTGTCAGTCAGGATTCGAATAACACCATCGTTTTAGAGACAAATCGCCTTGGTTGCCCTTAATGACCACAGTGGCCCCAGTAGATTACTCCAGAGAGTTGACGTTCTGACTATAAACTATGAAAGCTACTGAAGATACTTGCTTGGAGTCGTTTGGTACAACTCTATTCCAGCCATCAGGGACATATTCTACTGGTATATGTAATCTTCATAGTGGACAAAAGCTAATTATTATCAGTTAAGTACCTTAAGTTATTAAACATATTGTTACCGATCGCGCATAAAGTAAACATATCTATCGCGTATCACTTACTAACTTAAGCACTAGCACGTAAGACAGTGTGTGAAAGTATAATTATAATATATTTTATAAACCTTTTATTATCAACACCAACTGTATATATTTTAGCAATAATATGATGCATCACCTGTATGTGACGTCATCATGTAAACAATCAACATTATTCAATTGTTATCATAATTATAACGTATGCCACTGTGCTATGTAATTATCAATTGAATAATTAATATGCCTGATTGATTCACATTCAATTGTCATCCGTCAGCCATCACACATGCATGGCTGACACAACATCTTACTAATGTTGTATATCATTCACAGGCAATAAACGAGATGTTTTACACCAACGAGGATCTCCGTCCGTTATTTTGTCTGCTTGGCAAGACTGAGGCCTGAACCCGCGACAAAACGATCATTATTTTTTGATAACTTACCGTTATTTCCTACGAGGGAGGACCACTTGCTGGTAGAACAGCCAGGTAATCAACAAGCGTGTGTAGTGAAATTTCAGTTTCATACGTGCAACGCGTACACGTGGCTGTTCAACCAGCAATTGCCCCAAACCCGACGCTGGTTTGGGCAGAGTATTAGTGACCTTGATATGGGAAAAACGCTATAACTGTCACAGGTCGCGGAAAATCATTCTGACAGTCCAAGTTTCGTACTGTTGGCAATTCGGGGATTCGAACCCTAAACAGCTGATTCTGATACAGGAAAGTAATTGAGCAATGGTTTTGTATACTGTATTTTCATTTTTGGAAGCTATCAACTGAGCGCGTACTGTTTCACACCACATTTTGCGACATTCTACAAGATTGAGCTGAGTGGACACCAGAAAAGAGGCTCCATGATCACATGATGTATCCATGTTGCCAATAATATCCAGACCTTTCGGTGTGACGAGCCAACGCTGTAACCGCGATGCTACCCTGTAATTGTTCAAATACCATGTGTGTCTTGCACATGTTAACCCTTCAACGAGTCTGGCAGTTTAGTGAGGATAGGTTCACTTGATATGTACTTACCTAAAACAAACATCACATTAACCCTTTACAACTGTGAACCTTAATCTATTGTATGACAACCAGAAGAAGTACGTGCTGGAACATAACACGGTCATGACGTCCCAGGAGTGGTCTCTATCCAGATGACGATCTGGCAGCATAAAACAAGCTCGCTAACCAGTAGCTAAACTTTTATAGCCCGATATGCTTTTGGAAGGGTGAAAGAATAAAAATTCAATAATTGATATTGACTTCCTCCTTGACTCTCTCCATTAACGTCATCGTACTAAAGACTGACTGACTGACTGAGTTTGGTTTTACGCCGCTTTTAGCAATATTCCAGCAACATCACGGCGGGGACACCAGAAATGGGCTTCACACATTCGTACTAAAGAAGAGTTGGTGTTGTAAATCTATCTAAACAGTTGATACAAGGTACAGAATGTAATATCCATAGAAAGTAACAGACATATAGTGATAACATTGAACGTATTAGGACCCGTTACATTGATACACCACGTGGAGGTGCAACACCACGTGGAGGCCACAGTGAATAGGGGTAAGGGGTGGGTGGGGGTGGGGTCAAATATGACCCTTACAACTTTCAAAGCCTGAATACAGTTTTCAAAACGTTTTAAAGGTAGACACAGGCAGGAAAGTTCCAGATGTGACGCCTCAGTGGAAACTCTTGCCAGGAAAATATATAGCACAGTGCATACCACAAAGGAATCGTATGTTATTCATACAGTTTCATTTCAACTTCCACATTTGGCCAGCAGGTGCTCGAACTCACGTGATGTATGTTTGTGTATCTTTGAATAGAGTAAATACGTCAATTCCTTGATATCGGCAAACTGCTTGACACACCAAAGGTTGTAGTAGAGCAGCTCAAGAAAAGCAACAACGATATCAACCATTGAAGTCTTGGAAAGTATAAAACGATTCACTTGTTATGTATTAATACCTGGTTATGCGTACACACCCCGACAGACGTAGCGTAGCCGCGTCAACCTCCAGTACAGACGAAGCTCAATGGGGCGTTTCATAGAGGTGGCGCTACTCCTGGTGGTCCTTGGACGCGCAGAGGGTATGTTATATTTTGTCGAATCCATACTCTTTAAAACAATGAAGGTTTTCTTGAACATTTCTGTCCCCTTTAACTACAGTTCTCTTTAAAGGGTAAATGGTCGCTTAATTTGTTGGTTAAAATAGAAGATGGAAGAATCGAATATATGCTGCATCTGTGATACTGGGAACGTGTATTATGTCTGGGGGGCCTGGTCAACCGGTACACGAGGAATTCGGAATCGAAACGTTTTGGGCACCCCTGAAACCAAATGTTGGATAACCCGTTCCCACTTGTACCTAAAAACATGATGACTAGAAACTAAATAAACGAATCCGTACTAAATGAAAATATATATATATGATTTGAAATTGTGTTTCATATATTGCACACTCAGTTTGGAATTCAGAATATTAGAAACTTTTTCTTACAACTTCACGTAGGTAGTAGCTTAAACACTGAAACAACAATATGACACAAATAAAACTTACACCTTGATCACGTCATGTCTTGACCCATAATTAAAACCAATTGCTGGTTTCACTTCATGACGTGTATTTCTTCCCTCCCGGTGGCCCACCATTTTGCACA